ATGAGGGGAAAAGAGAGAACACACCTGGTGTATGTGGGAGGTCGTCATTGGTGTTGTCTTCGACGGCGAAGTGAACCTGTTGCACGAACGTAGATAGAATGGATAGACCGAGTAGAGTAGGCTGGGCGCTGGTCACTATACAGTAGGAGCAACATTGAATACTGTGTTGGCGTGGCCTGAGGGCTTGGACATTGGCTCACAAGTTCATTCTATTGCTCTTATGTGGATGGAATCTTGGTGCATTTGAGCTCTCTACTTGGTATATGACTATAGGGACTTCTGCATGATTTTGCAACTTGGGTTTTCTGTCTATGGCTCTCGCTCATATTCCTTGCAGAAAATACACTTCGGGCAAAAAACAGTTTCAAATTGCACTTCCAGGCATTTGTTAATCCAATCCTCGTTTACTGTGGTAGTGCCGACAGGCTAAGGGCATACTCACACTGGGACCTATAATCCCGAATTCCCCCCCAAAAAGGTAGAGACCGTAGAGGATTGGTCACACAGATTTGCCAAAGTCCTAAATGTACCGTTCGTGTGCCCATTTGTCAGCGGCCTGTAGCCACAGGGAAACTGAATTTGCGGTCACCTCTGAAGGTGACCGCAAATGCCCTATTTGTTTTTTCGTTCACGATAGTTCTTGCGCACTTCGTGGTCCTTTTTGTGGATGGTGCCGTGTGACCAGCAAAGGACCAAATCGCCATTGCTCCAGACGGCCAGGGCCTTGTTCAGGTAAGTACCAAATGGCCGTTGGTCCAGACAGCCAGGGCCTTGTCCCATCTGAAAAGGTACAGCAGTGCGACTGGAACCATGCCCAAAACCTCAAATCAGCCCTTCCCAAATGCGCATATTTTGCGGATTGGGGTCGCGGTGTGAGTGTGCCCTAAAAGAGTATACTCACACTAGGCCCTCAAAATCACAAAATCACAAAATCACAAATTGAGGGGCCAGATGGAGGCCGCCTTTTACAAGGACTCAACCTGGGGTTACCTGGCCGCTCATTTTGCGATTTTGCGATTTTGAGGGCCTAGTGTGAATATGCCCTAAGCGATGTAGGCAACCAAAACAAAAACAAAAATAACAATGATGACTAATTTCTGTAGGTATGCCCTAAGCTCTCACCGGGTACATACGACAGACCTTGCTGCTGTTTCGTGCCTTCCCTTTTTTTCATCTGTTCATTTTCCTTTACCCCCCCAGCTTTCGTGATCTATTTCTCAAGAGCACGTGTACAATTTAGCCACAACGGAGGTGTACTTCTACTCTATTCCGTTGAACGGACCTCCTATGATCACGGAGATATCACTCTGTCCTTCGAGACATCCGTTAAAATTTGCTACGATACATAGAAAAGATTACTTCTCATCGCTCCAGCCCAGTCAAGGATGATAGACAATAAAACGACAACTGGTCCACATTACTAGAACAGAAGAAGAAGAAGAAGAAGAAGAAGAAGAAGAAAGAAGAATCAGAAAGAAGAACAAGAACAAGAACAAGAAGCAGAAAAAAGAAGCAGAAGAAGAAGCTGTGCATTAAAGGATGACAGGCAATACATTGATAAATGGTCCAATTAACTAAAACAGAAGAAGAAGAAGAAGACGAAGAAAAAGGAAGAGGACGACGACGACGACGAAGAAGAACAAGAGGAATTGAGACAAAGCCAACGGCCAATTTGAACAACTGACCTGGACACATGCTTCGAGATGAACCATGCAACTTTGCAATGTATTAAACTTACAGTGGAAACACGCTGATCGCCGGACAGGTGTCGGCCAGGTAGCGCACCTGGCACTCCTCAGGGGTTTCCTCTGCAAATCCGCCTGAGGGACGGGAACAGCATTTATCTATCTGGGTCGAAGAAAGGGCATTACTACAGTAAAATTTGACCCATCGACATCGCAGGAATTACAACCGAAGGAACTCATATAAAAAGGCCATATACTAATACAACTTTCCGGAACGAATCTGACCGCCATTGGGGCAAGATACCTAGTATTACCTGCAACACATCCGCATCCCGAATTGAAAGTGCCGAGAGCTCCCGAAGCAAAGACAGACCTAAGGTCCTTCGAGAGAATGTCACATCCGTTAAAATTGGAACGATACACAGAGAGAGAAGACTAGCATGGCCCCTGCGCAAGGATGACACTCATAAACCGAGAAATGGGCCAAATTATATATTTAGAAAAGAAAAACAGACAGACCTAAGTCTACGCGACCAAGTTACCACTACCCCCGAAAAGCTCACCGTCGCAGAACGGAGAGCGACTCAACGGAAACAATATGAGGGGGGGGGGGGACGAAAATAACAATACGAAGGTGAAAAAAAAAACAAAAAAAAAACAGAACAAAAACGAAAACTGAACAGCTGCAAGGTATCTACGTAGTTTCCTGGTCATGAGCAAATGCGAACAGCCCAATGTTTAGGAGGAAAAAAAAAAGACAACAGCCCGATGTCAGAAAGGGAACACCCCCCCAAGAAAAAAAGGAAAAGAAAAGAAAGCGGCCAACGAAGGTAAGAAGAGTTCCATCGATTCAACGAATCACGGAATCTGCATACAGAGGTTTCGTATTAAAAAAAAAAAAAACAAAAAAAAAAAACCCTGCGTAAAAGCCAACGAATGTACAGAGATGGACGGCACGGTTGTAATTAATCCGAACGACAGGTCCAGATCATGAAATCTAATTAGAGATCACGGAATCTAATTAGAAAGAAACCGATTGTCGTCCATACATCCAGATCCAGATCCGGATCGAAGCGATTGCTGATCGATCATGTGAATTTCGAAACAAGAAATGTGAGTAGAGATGGGTGAAAAAGGTGCTGCTGCTGCTGCTGAGCAACGCAGGACATCCGCATTGCACAAGAAATGGCTATCGATGAAAAAAAAAAAAAAAAAAAAAAAAAAGAGAAGGTGCTGCTGCTGCTGCTGCTGCTGCTGAGCAACGCAGGACATCCGCATTACACAAGAAATGGTTATCGATGAAAAAACAAAAAAAAGAAGAAAAAAGATGATGGAAAGTGGAGCGATTGCGTTCCCATCAAGGTCCAAGTACCTGACACAGCGGGCCTATTGGTAGAGTAAAGTTGGTACACCCATGAACTGTTGAAATACAGACGCGAGGTCGAATCCCAACCCGATGAACAGAATCCCAACCCGATGAACAGAACAACATCACTCTGAATTACTTTGGGACCAGTCAGCTCAATGACGATATCGTAAGACCGTAACCCTTTTCATTGAAAAAAAAAAACAAAAAAAAAACAAGGCGCAGCAATTCCGTGACTGTCACACAGGAAGGCGCATTTGTGTGTGACAGTGTGTGTGCGCGACAGGTGGCATTGAGCGACAAAACTCCTGGGCGCCGTAGCGTGGCGTCGAGCGACAAGGCGGAACGTGGCATTGAGCAACAAGACTCCTACGCGCCAGAATGTGGAACCGACCAACAAGACTCCTCAGTCAGTCCTGTGCGGCGGAACATGGGAATTGGGCGACAACGCCGACAAGACGCATAGTCGCAGGAGCGTGACATGACACTGAGCCACAAGGCTCGAGCGCGGCAGAAAAAGGGGGCATTGGGCGACAAGGCTCCTGTACGTGGGAATTGGGCAACAAAAGAGTCTGCGCGGCAGAAAAGGTGGTAATGAGCTCCGCGCAGAAAAAGGAGAAAAAGGTGGCAATGAGCGACAAGGATCCTGTACGTGGGAATTCTACAACAAGGCTCACAGGAACGTGGCACTGAGCGACAAAAGACTCTGCGCGCCAGAAAAGGAGGGATTGAGCGACAAGGATCCCACGCGCCGGAATGTGGCAAGAGCGACACGACTCCTGAGAGACGGAACATGGCGTTGAGCGACTAGACTCGACTCCTGCGCCGCAAAACGTGGCAATGAACGATCGGAAAAAAAATAGGGATGAGTAGATTGATGAATGCACCTTCGAGTTGGATTAAGGCCCACTTCATCTCCATTGATCCAGTCACAGTTCGATCGAACAGGAAAGGAAAGATTACTCGATGATTAGAAAGAAGGGGGGCGGGGGGGGCCCAAGATTATCATCGATAACCACGTGGGGAACGAAACGACGAGCCACATATAGTGTAGTATCGTGTTTCGTAAGTTGGTGACAGCGAAGCGGCCGCCACGTGGACACCCTTACTGAGACGATCTGAGAAATCAGAGATGGAAGGCGTCACGTGGGCACCCTGATTGATGTCAATGCCAGTGCGGGTGTCAGAGAGAGAGAGGAAGAGAGTGGATGAAGAAGGGAGGGACAAATGGGGGTCTTGGGGGGGGCGCGGCGGGATGGTCTGGAGGAATAAGTTTTGTCTGCCGCTTCAATGGCATTATACGGGCAGTTGCTTATTGCATGTACAATGTCCGACGAACGGGGATTTGGAGATACCTCGAGACTACTGCTACTACTGCTACAACTACTAGAACAACTACTAGAACAAGTACTAGAACAACTACTACTAACTTCCACTAACCACTGCTAGTACTACTACGGTAGTACGCTGAGTACTACAAGTACTCGTTGCACACAACTGCTGATATTGCGTGATGTCAGATGTAGAAGAGAATGTGTTCACACTCTGGAAGAATTGCCAGCCTGCCGCAACAAGACTTCCTGAATTGAACACGCGACTTTTGCTATGTCCGCTTGTGTCCGAAGATGCCCGGTGTTGAGCTCCTATAGAGTCAGTGCATATGCATGAGACCGCGCGTGTACGCATCTCCGCTCGAGAGCTCGCTCTACAAGTCGATCGATTGGTTGTTAGCTGGGGAGTCCCCTGCAGCATATTACTTATTTATCAGCACATTCTCTGGGCAAGATTTGTCGGTCGGCCGTTTTTTCGTCCGCACACTTCCATGGTTCTCATTCGATCGATCACTCCCCCGCTCGCAAACGCGCTTGCGTCATCACCCCATCACCATGATCGATCAATCGGGCAAGAAATGAGAGGAGAGGAGGAGGTGAGCTGAGATGAACCTTCCCACGCTAAAGCCTTATTCATTGGTTCATCCATACATAGTCTACTACGTAGAGTAGTCGTGTACAATAGGACCCCCGTCGGAGTAAACTAGTGCGGGTCGGACGCGTCCTTTCCTTGCACCCATCATTCATCAATCGCTGAAGATAAGTGTAGATTGATCCCTCCCTCCCTCCCTCCCTCCCTCCCTCCCTCCCTCGGAGGAGCACACTTATTCGTCCATAAGAATCTCTGTACGTCGAAGACTATTGGTCGTCAGAGAGCTACAATGACTGAATAGTCCAAGAACATGATCATAATCATGAGTTAAATCACTGTTAAAAAGAGTAACCAGTGATTAGCTCTTGGTTATTACCGATCTGGGGAGTCCCAGAACCTTCGCTGTTGTTCGGAATCCTCTTCTCCTCGTGCATGGCCAAGCGTGACGTCCTCCGTGGGAGAATCGCTTTCCAGCCCCACAACGAGGTTCTCGAAGTAGTCCCGAATACACCGGCAGAGCTCAACCAGTCGAGACTGGAAATCTGTAATCGATTCTAGCGAGTGCTCGGTTAACTGGCCATCATCCTCCCAGTCTTTTAAAAGTCGCCTAAGTTCCCTGGCAGCACTTCTGTGAAGCCTGTTCAGCTTCGACTCTGCTTCCGCCTGCAAATACGATAGAAACGCGCTCCTCCTACTCCCCCCTTGCCTATTACTCCCATTGCTCCCACTACTACCGCTGCTATTGACCTCATAGTCGACATTCAAATTGTCATCATCATTCGCCGCGCATTGCTGTGCTGCTGCTGCTGATGATGATGATCTATTGCTGCCTCCCGCCTCAGTATCGGCAACGCCGAGAAAAAACTGATGCACCCAGGTCCATTTGAGTACCCGGCGACATTCGATCACCAACCAGATGGCTTGTTCGACAAGTTCTAGGTAAGACAGAGGAAGCCCTCCCTCCCTTGAGAGAATCACAATGTCCTCGGCAATGAACCGCTTGAGGTCCCATACCACCCCGGCTTGGGACCATTCCTGCTCTGCCCAGCGTTCCGCAAACATCATGAATCGATCGGAAGCGGCGGAGGACGACTTCCCCGCGCCTCCGCCTCCTGCGCCTCCTCCGCGCGCGGCGTTTTGCTTCATCGCTGCCACGGCTGACATGGACGCGGGCGAGCTGACGAATGCAGACAAACCCACGTAATCATCATCATCATCGGCAGGATGATTCGTAGCCTGATAATGATAAGGATAATGATGATGATGATGGCGGGGGTAATCCCACCTCCTCCACGGTCGGTGGCGATGGTCCCCTTGGTCCATCCGCTCGAAGGGGACCGCGCAAGAGAAACCTCTCGATACTACCGACGACAAGCATTTCATCCGCCGCCATTCCGCGCCTCCTCCGCCTCTCTTCTTCTTTCGTCTTCTTTCTATTACTCTATACCTCTCCTTCCGAGTCGCCGTGCCATTACCCGCGCCCCACTCCCCCGCGAGGTCCTCCTCCTCCTCCTCCTCTGAGCTCTCGTTGTCGCTAGTATCCGGATTGAACGCGCCACACATACATGACAGCGCCGCGGCGGAGCGTTTAGGGAATCGAAATGCGGACGCTTTCACTTTGTCCACTTTGTCCACTTTGTCCACTTTGTCCTTTCCCGCTTCTTCAGTCCGGTGCAACTTGTACCCCCCCCCTGGCGTGCATAGCCCTTTCCGTTGGAGGTTAATCCGCCACCTTTTCCAAGACGATCTCCCTGGAGTTTTCCCTCCTCTATCTCTATCTCTCTCTCTCTCTCTTTCTCTCTCTCTCTCTCTCTCTCTATCTCTATCTACATCCTTCTCGATCCATTTACCGCCCGCTGGTTGCATGACTGAGGATGGTTCGGGATCCCGCCGGGCTGAAGGCGACAATTTCTTCGCCTCCGCCTCCAGCATCCTCTCCCACTCTCCCACTTGGTCACACCGCGCCGGGCGGTGGGATTCGTGCAAACAGCTCCAGCAGAACCTATGTCCGCATCCTCCGCACGACACATCCATCGTTCCATTCGGCCCTTCGGCGACAAGCTCGACGGCGTAGGAGCAGCTGTCGGCGGGGCAAGGCTTCACCGTCGCCGATCCTCTGAGGTAATGCCAGGCTGCTTGGCGGCGAAACACAGCGAAATCGGCTTCGTCGCAAGCGGCGGCAAGAACGTCGCTGTCGCCAACCGCAGTATCGCAGTGGGGAAGAGGACAGCGCATGACAGCTTGCTTGGCTATGGCCTCGTGGACGCTGACGGACCAGCAATGACTGCAGAAGCCATGGCCGCATCGAAGGATCCGCAAGTCCGTCGAGAGAAAGACGTTTACAGCACAACGCCGACACTGTCGAGCGTCCGACGCCGCCATCGCCGTTGCCGCCGCCGCCGCCATCGCCGTGGTCACCTCTTCTTCCTCCTGCATATCGCCCGGTAAGGTCAGCATGATTGCGTAGGAGGATGGTGGTGAGGGGGACCGGTGAGACACAGGACTCTCGGGTCTCCCTCCTCCTCCCCCTCCCCCTCCACCCTTCCTCCTCCTCCCTCTCCTACGCGCATCATACACTGTGCAACACACCGCTCTTTTCCCACACTCCGGCCAATGCTCCCTCGTCAGGCCTGTCAAATGCCGCACACCGTCTTCGTCTTGAACCCAACGACCAACCAGCTTGTCGAAATCGAAGCCGAAACTTCGCAGGAGAATGCCGGCGGCGTCCTGACTGATGCCGAGAACGGATGCCGCGGCCGAGCACAGCCCGATCTGTCTGTCCCAGATGTCGTTCTCAGATAACGACACGTAAGAGGCTTCATGCAGAAGAGGAGTACACCGCTTTTTCCCCTGCGCAACCAGGGCACAAATGCTTCCTGCCGTTCGATCTTCGTCGCTCACGACGCCGCTTGATTCCACTGTCTCCTCCCCAAGCGCGCAACTTGACCCGCTGGCAGAAGAGGAGGCGTCCGCAAACACGCTGCTGCTCTCATCGTCTTCACCTGCTTCCACCTGGGCTTCATCGTTCCTTTCCCGGCCATCGCCAGCCGCCTCTTCAACTACCGGTCCCGCCGCCACAGCTCCTCCTCCCTCCTGCAGCCTGAAGACAAAACGCTCGTCTGCGGTGCATGTTTCGCCCATAGTAGGGGGAAAAAACGAAAACTGATAGTTTCTTGTCTCTTCCGTCCGCTCCAGATGATATGCCCGCCGCCAGACAACTACAAAATTCTCTTTGTTCCCCCTCCTCACATTCCTTCTCCTACCGCATCTATCAACCTCGATGTGCGACTTTCTACCGTTCCCAAACAGCCTCTCTCCTCGCCGAGCCCAGTTTCACTAAGCACGCACAGACATAAGTGCCTCCCTCCCCTTCGCCTCCGGCTTCACTAAGCACGCACAGGCATAAGCCCGCATACACGCGCTCGCGCACATACACACACCCACACCCACACCCCCCCCCACACACACACATATGCACGAACGCATTCGCCAACACACACACACACACACACACACACACACACACACACACACACACACACACACACACACACACAGAGAGAGAGAGAGAGAGAGAGAGAGAGAGAGAGAGAGGTGCAGACGTTCAGAGGAAGATTGCTGAGCACCACCAGATTGGAAAAGGCGAGGCAGGACGTGGTTGTGATTCTTGTGAAAGAATCAGGTGGTCGATGATTGGGGTCTATCGTGCATCCAGTTGGTTGGGGCAAACGCAACAAAACAACTAAGCACGCACAGACATAAGCCCTCATACACGCTCTCGCGCACATGCTGTGTGCGGAGTCCACTTGTGGCCTCGGTGCTCTACTCTGTGTGCGCTGTAGTGGCCTCGCTCCACTACTCTCGACATGCACAAACGACAAAACCCATGGCGGTGTATCTTTCCATGTTCTAGCGGAAGATGCACTCTCGTTTTGCACGTGTCGAGAGTGGAGCAGTGAGGCCCATAGTTGGTGGATAGCTGTCAGAGTCTCTACGAAAAACGGAGAAAACCCGGCATCGTTCCACTTTTACCGTCCTACCCATCTTGCCTCGAATACAACGTACGGTCATTATCTCTGTATTTCAGCCATCATAGACACCGCTATAATGACCATTCGTTCTATTCGCGGGAAGAACCTAGTCTGACGCGACAGATGGCGAGAGGCTTCCTCAGTGTAGTATCGCTCCGTCCAATGACCGGTCGTTGCACTCCGCTTTCAGATCGCACAATGCCGTTCCGTTCCGTTTTCGGATGCCCAAAGCGAAGCCAGCCGATCGAATACAGTAACTTTCTTTAAAAAAAAAATAAAAAAAAATACAGTAACTGTGCACCAGTAAGCTCGACGTTAGGATAGCCGCGGTCCTCTCGGAGAAAGCAATGCTCAATTACAAGTCAAAATACTTCACAAAAAATTCTAAGCGCCCTGGCCGCTAATCGCCCACCTCTTTTTAAAAAAATAATAATAATAATAAAAAATCGCCCACCTATCCACAGATTCCACACACCATGGTCATCACTGCACTGATGACGGCACCAATCACGAAGTATGAAAAAGACACAAGCTATGGCGACCGACTGTACCTTTCCCTTTTTTCCACGTTTTACTGGAAGATGCGTTCTCCATTTTGCACATTTGCGAGCAATGCGGCGAGGGCCCTTGTCCCGGCAGCACCACCTGGTGTCTCTCATCCGTGAATCGATCCATTGCCAGCCGTTGACAGGATGAATTACAATAATCGAAATAATCGAAAATCGAGATCGAACGGAGGTGCAGTGCTGATAATCAATTGGCTAAGAAGAAAGCAAACGATAGTCGCGCTGTTAAAGAGGACCTGGGTTCCCAGGGAAAACAGCGAGGACGGCAGATTAAAAAAAAAAAAAGCCAGCGAGGACGGAGGAATGAGGGGACGTGCAGACATTCGAATCGAAAGAATTCCTGTGAGTGCGCAGCCTTCGCCCGACCGATGTTTGTCGTGCGCTCGACTTTCATCATCCTCGTGGCAACGGACACGGAGGAAGACACTCCCAAAGGTGGAGTGGACGTCATTAATGAGAGTCGAGGTCAGGATCCAGCGAGCCCTGCCTTGAGTCGACTTCCCAAGCATAGAACGACTTCCCCGAGGGGATAGAGTCTTTTCTATCCTGGGCAAGCCGGGCAATGTAGACTACCAAGACTACACTCGTCCGCAGCTACGGGTAGGCTTATTAGAGTATACTTTTTTTTTTTTTCCTTTGGAGGTGGGGGGAGGGAAATATTAGAGTAGACTGGCCAAACGTACGCTGGTGTGAAGAACTGCCGGTGGCGATGAGAGGGAGGAGAAACGCTCCCTCCGTGAGCACGTCCGATTGGGCTTGCTGCCCCGCTCAGCACAGCTTCCAGCTCGACGAGCAGCGGGAGTGATGAGAGGGAACGTCAGAAGACCCGAGAATCCATTCGGGGGTGCCCTTCGCCATATTGCCCGCCAGACGTGGGGCATCGCCACACCACTCTCGAAATGTGCAAACTGAGAATGAACTTCCTGCTAAAACATGGCCAGATGCTTCCGACTCAATGTTGTCTTTTTCACATTTCTACAGTGGTGTGGCGAGGCCCTTGGGGCGCCTTCGAGGCGCGGTTCAGACAGACAGTCTCGCCGCTTTTGCACACGAAACGAAAACGAAACGGGCGCATCTGCCCACGAAAGGAAGCAAAATACACTCGTTACTATTTATAGCAAACTGACGAACCTGGCCATTTTCTGCAGGATCTGGCCATGTTCTAGCGAGACGTTCATTCTCATTTTGCCAGAGGTCTCCCACCGAAAATGGCGTTTTACAGGCGGGAAGCTCAAGCGATTTCGGAAGTGCTCTCGGGGCCACATTTTCTGACAGCTCCCGAATTCAATCTGACAGCTTGAACTCGGGAGCTGGTGCGGCGACCCTGCACTCCCCGAAGTCGGCAGTAGGGCCTCGCTGCACTACTCTCGAAATGTGCAAAACGAGAGTGAAAGATGCACGGCCATGATTTTTGTCTTTTATGCATGTCGAGAGTAGTGCAGCGAGCCCCTCAGTGTGGTGACGCTCTGAAAGCACCGCCGTGCGCTGATGATCGTACAGAAATGTTTGGAGTTTCCTAGGGATATACCGTTGGTCCCCCCGAGTGGCATTGAGCAGACACTGCTGATGTTCATAGGGGGAGGGGACCGGAGGGGAGGCACAGTGACTGGCCCATCGAAGAAGCTCGGTCCTGATGCTACCGGCTGACCCCTGGCCGGTATCGCCCACCTGCTGTAGCAGGTATCGCACCTGCTGGT